TTATTCTGGAACCCAAGTCTGATGACTTACACAAGACAATTTCCAAAAGAAGCTAACTTTGTTTCATTTTAATAGTAAGGCATAAATTAACGCAATTGAAAGGCATCATTAAATAACGTTTCTTGATAGATGGAAGGTACTATTTTATATTTTTATTTCCCTTCTTCTATATTGACATTAAATTCCTCCAGAGAACAAGTCATCTTCGTTTCTCTGATGACACGACACCATGAATAAAGCAGGTGTTTGGTAAATATTTGTTAATTTGTGTATTTGACCACCTCTTGACAATTCTATATAATGGACTGAAAAATCAAGTTACTTAGGATTTAAAACACAACAATACCATTGTGCACAGTAACAAACCATCTAATCACCCACAACAGAGACCCATATCTTCTAACCAATGTATCGCCTTAAATATTTAAGAGCATCATAGTTTTGCAGAATACACCTCACGAGTTTCCCTTCTTCCTTCTCCCTATCGACCTCTGGACGACTTTTTTTAAAATAGGAAAGATAGGGCTGGTGATTTAGCTCAGCGGCAAAAGCGCCTGCCTGGCAAGCGCAAGGTCATGAGTTCGGTTCCCGGTACCGGAGAAAAACCAAAAAAAATAAATAAATAAATAAAATAAAATAGGAAAGATGACACTCTGAGAAGAACCCCGTCCTGCCTGAAGAAAAACTAAGTGACACATATGGCAACAAAGGGTTGCTATAATTTTTCATGAAAGAAAAAGTTGGCATCCACATTGTCTTCCTGCCCCGTCATTTCTTTAGAACATCTAAGGAATTACTGCACCCGAGTAAAGACGGTTAGTTCTTCTCCACCAGCTGCCAAAGGAAACGCCTTCCTCTCCCCAAACGACACTTCAGCCCCAGAACCCGACAGTATGCAAAAAGCTGGGGATTGGAAAGAAGCCGTCTGCGAGGGGGTAAATGCTCAACCCACTCAGCAGAACCCTTCGAATTCAAGTGCTTTGCTATTCCCACAGTCAATACAGGCCGTTTAAAAGCTGCTCTGCGTTCCTAAGAACAGCTTGGGCGCAAAGTGAGAAATTAAAAAGGGGGACCAACAGGTGCACGCCCTGCGCATGAGGCCTGGACCCTGGCAGCCCCCAGAGCCCGCAAGAGGAAGGCCCCGGAGCTCACCATTGAGCAGTTCTAGAGATAAGTATCACAGACCTAAAAAAAAGTCTTTAAGGAAATAAAAAGAAATAGGACAGCACATTACTTGTTATTTAAAGAGGCCGCCGCCCCTTCCGGGTCCTACCTCTCAGTGAACCCACTTCCGGTCTCCCCCAAAACGCCGGGATCCGTAGCCAATGAAAGTGCCGGTTACTTCCGCCGCTCTGCCTGTCGGCCTCTAAGTCCCGCCTTTTCCGGCGAGAGCAGCCTATCAATTCGTTAGACACGCTCAGCTCCGGAGGCGGTGCCGTGATAAACCCAATCGGAGGGCTGGAGAGCGCGAGAAGGGCAGGCGGGCCGTGCACACCTCTTCCGCCCTGGGCCCGGAAGGGTGATGTGGCTGGGCCAGCGCTGGCCTCACTATGGTAAGAACTGGGCTGCCGGGCGTGACTGAGATTTTCGGAGGGGCACTGGGTCGGGCCTGGGCCGGACGGGTGTGCGGCCGCCCTGAGTGCGCGGGCC